GCACGTTGAATCATATTCAATTGGCGATTTTCAATAGCAGTTATAACGCTATCGACAGTAGGTGGTTTTTTAAATTTCTCTTGATTATTTAACACTTTTTGTTTCTCATTGTTCACTTTTTGAACATAGTTTTCGACAATAGTTTCAGCTGTAGAGATAGTTTTCATTACTATATCTTCTATAAATTGATCAATAGAATTTGCCTGATGATTTGTTGCTGCTGGCAATTCTTTATCAAAAATTAGATGTATAAATATATCATTGATTTTTGTTAATGCTAAATCTTGAAATGTGCACAATGTTAAAGAAGAAGAAGATTTTGAAGAAGACAACCAAGTTTTAAATAAAGCAATCTCATATTTGAGTGCTTGTTCATCTTGAACTGCTTTCCAAATAGTTTTCGCTGAATGTATCTAAATAATAGGATGAGAAAAGAAGATATATATAATATTAATGGTAATTATTAATATATTTACAGACCTCTGTTTGTCTTGGTTTTAAGTTGTAGAAAGTATGAACTAATTGTTGATCTTTAGCATCAAATTTAAGTATAGCTCAGCGTCGTTCAAGTTCCATACGTAATTCATATTGATCTCTATATAAAAAATCATTGATAATGGTCATAAGATTATTCATATCAGCTGTAGAAAGAGATATTTGTTTTATATGTTCATCAATATTAATTTGAAGCATTTGAAGCTTTTTTGTAAAATTTTTTTGACGTTGTGCGATTAATATTTTTGAACGGCCATAACTATAACACATGGAATTAATCAGAGCCATACTTTTGGATACACGACCATTCCAAATACCTTCATTTACACCAAGATTATAATAGTAAGACCATTGTTCATCTTGAAGTTTGAAATAATTTAATTTATTGATCAGTTGTGTTAACTGACGAATATATGTTAGCATTTCGTCAGTATCAAATAATTTATTCACCAAATTTTGATTATCATCTGTTGTTATTGTTGTCAGTAACATATCTTTAAAGGTATTATTTGAAACCATGGAATAATCAGTTAAAAATAAAGATGGATCTAAATTTGATTCAGTATATAGAGAAAAACATTTTTTCTTTCTCGATGATGATGATGGCATGGACAATTGTTTATCTTCTATAAGTTGCATCATCTCTGATTGTGCAAATTGACGAGCTACTTCATCTGATATTGTTCTCGTATGACGATGATATTTCTTTTTCATATTTTGTACCTTTCGAGTACGTTGATCTTTTTTTGTTTAATTTCTTTTTCGATATCTGATTTTGTTGTTCTTGTGAATCTTTATTGGCAGACATAGTCGAGAGAAATTTACCAGATTATCTAGAATTTAAGAAGAAATAGAAAACATAAAAAGTAATGGAGTAAGATATATGTAGAATAGACAAATTAAATAAGAATTAACAATGAGTGTCATTTTTT